CTGGGTGGGCAGTTTGGAACAATGTACTTAAAACTTGTCTTCGTTTCATGAACCCCAAAACCCAAAACCAAGGTTCGTTTTGTGGGACCAGAACTAACGCAGTTAGCCCCGCAATGGGGTTGACAATCATTGAATGCCAGGCCCAGGATGCGCGGGCACGGTCCCGAAGCATAAGTATTCCATTAAGCGGTATGAAGCCAGCAATCAATCCTATACAAACAGTTGCCATGTCGTTCAAAATGCAGAAAAATCTCTGTTTGCGATTGTAGACCCATTCAACACAATCGGACGCGAACATCATGTCGGAAAAACTATGCAGCCAGACCCGAATTTACAGGTTCACTTAAACCCGAAGTCAAGCTTCACTTGCACACGAACAAGGGCTTAGCTAATCTTAGCTACACTCGAATTGAAGATTTGGCTAAACCCGAAAAAATACTTACATCCGAATAGCCGAACCCGAAACTCAGGTGCAAATACAACCGAAAAACATTAATGGCGGCACTGGTTTCCGAAAAAAGGTGATGATGACTCTGATGCTATGCTGATGATGATGACGGGCAGAATCATCACAACAGGAATCACAACTACTACTGTACCACAGAATATATACTGACAACCCAGACACGACCGCACGCAACGAACTTGGAAGTCCTGTCAAGCTTGCTCCAGGAGACGGCAAGGAACTGACTCCAGTAAAATCAAAATCCGCGGGTTGTACCACACCGAAGCTGAAACATTGAATCATGAGAGGCACCTGCAAGGTCAGGGACTGAATCCAGGAGAAAGGCGGATACGGTGCAACCTGGGTCCATCGCACCGCGTCAATGTGCGCTTAACCCCCTTCCTGACACCCTCCATACTCTACCAACAGGCCAATTTACTGTTGTCTGCCAGTCAATACCATAAACCAAATCTTGATGTCCTGCACCCCCACAACCAAAACCTTCCACCCTAAGTTCAAGCTCCTCCACACTCAGCCTCAGCGTCCCGGAACCACTGAAACCAAGTCCCAAGCCCTGAGTGCCAGCCCTCAATCCCCAACCCTGAACTTTCTCGGAGATTGCACCGAAAGTAACCCGAATCGTCGGTGGTAGGAATCCCGTCTGTACAGAACCCAGCAGCACGAGTATCATAACATAAGGCTGTGGTGGTAGTCCAAACAGCCGTTGCCTGAAACACAGCACCCCTCTCGGGCCCACCTGGGCCCAGCAAGCGGAAATGATTGACCCCAGCCCAGTCGCCTCAGTGCATCCGTGGGATTCGGGAACCTCTTCCTGATTTCTGCCACTTGCCCACTCAGTCGACATTGAACCCCCTCAAAAACCGAAACCACGCTTTAAGTTTTACACCATTTGGTCCACTCGCGCCACTTGTCCCAATGCCACTCTTTCGATGTTTCCTTCACTTTCCAAGCGCCTCTCCCACTAAGCCCTAAGCCCTGAACCCGAAACCCCAACCCTAAACCAAACCCCTGAACGCTAGACCCGAACCCTACCAGTAAATCCTATACTTGTCAGTCCTACCATAGGCCCTAGACTCCGAACCCTGTGAACCCTGAACCTCCCCCCAAACCATCGACCCAAGCGGCACGTGAATATGTATAGCATTATGCTGTGTTCAAGCGGTCAAGAGTGTCTGTGCCTGTTGAATTAGCGGTTCCCGAATCTCAGGGCAATGAAACAGTCACTTCTGACATGCGCGAAGGTGGCCGAAAGGCTGACAGCTGATGCTGGTCTTTCGCAAAATCGTTGTCGGTTGTACTCATGAAGCGTTTGCTTGCCAGAGGGTCTGAGTTTCTTGATGCAGACTTTCCGGCCCTCACTCACGGCAGACTGGCGGCTAATACTCACGATGCACACTTTACCGCCGGTAACGTTCATGCTGCCGCTGGTCACAGTGCTAGGCGCCTCCGTGTCAGTGAGATCTCCGGCCACAGTACATGGTTGCGGATTCGATCCTGCATGTCTGTGCTCCTCTAGCTGTCTAGCTTGACCCCGCGGCTTGCGATCTGCATGTCCCTGCAGACACGGATGCACTAAGGGGCTCTATCTCGCATCATAGACAGAACATAAACACCACATGGCCAGGCCAATGTTTCAGCTTAAGATCAGTCAAGGATCATGCCACAAAGCCTTCGCTTTCAGTGCGATGGCATGCAACGCGGAGGGCGCCTGCTTCTTCTCTGCCTCACAGATCATCAGGAGACTCTTTTGCTTAGTTGGGTGTGCTTGGTCCCAGTCTGTGCCTGCCAGAGGAACTGCACGCGCTGCAGGACTGATTGTGCCGCATTGTGGGCAGCATGGTGGGCTGCCGGTCGCACCGTCCGCTGCTCTCGCAGCGGAGGCACAGTGCGTTGGAAAGTGCCTTCAGCAACAGAACAAATGACAAGCACCGCATGCGAGAGCTTGGCGTCCAATTTTTTTCGCCCAAACTTTCCTACGCAGGACTCCAACCGAAGAGGTCCAAGTGCTTATAGGTATCCAGAGGGTGCCAGTTCCGCCGGGCCTGGCCGCCACTGCGGAGCCAGGAAGCATTGCAAGGCCGCGCTTGCGTATGCTGCTGCTATGAGCGCCGTAAGAGCGGCAAAGGAGAAGCTTCGCTTTCGCCGGCCCTGGCAGCCACAAGCTGTTCGGGCCGCTTCGTTCGGCCGCTTCGGGGCTTAGGATGGCCTGGGCCTCGGCTCTTAGGCCGTGGGCTTCAACTCGGAAGCCATTGAGCTGGAGTGCAGTTTTGTGTGCTCGCAAGGGTACATCGGTTCATGAAACCGTAGAGGTCCGAGGGACAAAACCCACGTCAGCAGCAGTGAACAGTTCGCAAACCGACCAAACAGTGCATTGTCGCTAAATACTGTATGAGCTATTATCTAGTTGAAGCTTGGTTAGATCGCACGAACCTTCATCGAACCTGTCGAATCGACGAATCTGGGTCTCTTAGCTCCAGGCCCGCCAGCAGAAGCTTCCCATGGCAAGGGAAGCTTCAGGTTTTAGGGTTTCGGGATGCTTCTGATCTTTACTACTCGCATCCAGTGATGGCGATGGTGCCAGTGAGAGTTGCTGTTAATCACGGTATCGATGTGTCTCCGCGGGGAAAGAATTTCCGCTGCTCTGACAGCTCCGTCTAGACTTTGGGGGGATTTGGCTATGGCTCAAAATTTGCCACCACGATTACTACTTGGCGGCGGATGGCTGGGTCACTTGGTGTGGGGCTTTGTCTTGCTACTCACTGTCTGTGGCAAGTGCCGGTTGCAGAGCAATGCACGACATACCAGGATGCCGCCGTCTCCTATGCTTGATGCTGCAGAACCACATTCCCGGCAAGTCTCATGCAAAGTTCTGCAGAAGGAACCGGTATCCAAAGACAAGTGATGCAATACCTACTCGACCTACTCCAAGTCGAAGCAGGGATATCTGACGCCTACAAGCCTCTGCGAGTTTGCAGCCTTCAGCTCTCCAAAACCCTAGCAGCAGTAGCCCTCTGCACGTCTTTTGGCGGGCCAGCCGACCATCGTACCAGCCAACACTGCAGGGGTTGCTCAAGATGAGGCTACCTCTATGTGCTCCATGCTGCTAGGACCTAGGGAGCTCAATCACGCTAACTGTTAACTTGGAGCAACCCCTCGCTATGTCGAGGGGAGCCGCGTAAAAGCAGCTCCGAAAGTTCGAGGGATCGGGCCTCTCCTGGCACGGGGATACGGGGAGTCTGGGGGCGTCGTAGAGTAGGCTCTCTCTGGGGATGTTTACGGTAGGGACCTCCTGCTAAAAAGCTGCAGCGCCTAGATCTCGGAATCCGGCGACGACATTCTTGATCAGTTAGCAAAAGAAACCACACATGACACGGCAGGAAAGCAGGAAGAGCAACGAGTCATCTGAAACGAACACGTAAAGAAACCGACCCATATGCTTATACTGAAACGGACACGTGACGACAAACAGCTTGCAACATCATGGCATGGCATCTGTATGTTCAGTTTGTGTTAATGCCCCTACTTCTGCCTAGACTGTAGATGATGACCGTTAATCACGACTGCCACCCCAGTTTCATAGCTACTGCTGTTGTTGTATACTACACTTTCTATGACATGCTCATCATCATTGGTGGCAAGACCAAGCATCGCACGCACTCCGCTCCAGTGCCGACTCTTCCGAAGACGATGCACTTCGTAAAATGGCGTAAAAACCCTCTGAAGGGACTGCGGCTTGAACTAAGAGAGCTTCGGGCACACGCATGGCCTCGACATGAAACCGTCTCAGCTCCCTTTTTGCTTTTTGTAGTATCGGCCTCGGAACTATCCAGATTCCGCAGTTCAGCCAGGAAAACATGAATACAATGGTTGAATGGACTTCATTCATGTACGCAGAGCCCGCAAACTCTGCGAGAAGTCATGTTGACGGGTCAGGTGTGTCTGGAAATCTAAACTCTACACCGATTTACCACGACGGCGGCCAAGGTAATCATCGGGAAGATGCGGTAAAGTTCAAGCTGCTCATGACTGTGGTGCCGGTGGTGATGATTGCCACCTCTAGCACTGATAGGCGCCGTCATATTCTGGCATCGCTCTTTCTCAATGTATCAGAGTTACTACGCTGGCAGGATGAGTCGGCACTGTGCTACGGCTGTTAGGGTTCCAAGCCCCTCTCGTCATCAGCTGTGCCACGGCGCAGAGGCCGCTGCGCCTTCCAGGCGTGGACAGGCATCACCACAGCCACGGCCACCAGACTAGTGCAACTATGGTGGTGCGTGGTGCAACCTCACAGCTTCCGGCACGCCTCCGTGGCTGTGCTGGCCTTGAAAAGCTGTGGGCGGGGCTCTCGACTTTCTAGCGGAAGCAGATGGTATCCGAAGTCGAAACATGAAAGCCCTGTACTGTTGGCCTTGTGACAGGTCAGAAACATCCTTCTTCGCTCTGTGCGCCACACATGAACCAGGTACTTTCCGGCATCCAACCATGCACCGAGTTTTTTGCATCATACTGGGCTCCCGGCAGTCTATGGCAACTCTCAAGGCATCCTTTCAGGTTCTACCTGGGCCCGACAAGCTCCACCAAATTTTATGTGAACTCCAGGCTCTTTGAACATCAGGCTGCCGGATACTTTGGGTTCCGTTTTAGTTTCATGGGTCTCTTTTCCTCCTGAAACTACAAAATATCACGATCTTCCTAGGATTACGCCTCAAGAAGAAGGTTGGCCTGAGTAGAGAGGTGGATGGCAAAAATCGCAGAGATGTTGAGCTATCCCCAAGCTCCCAAAAACCTACCTTTGAAAAAACAAACCCCTGAACCCCCGAAACCCCACAAAATCATGCAATGACAAACCCTTTAACCCAGAACCCCAAACCCTGACACCCTGAAACTGTGAAGCTCTAGCCTCACCTGGCCTTCTGGCCTTGCAGTGTTCTGGTGTTAGATCGCCAGCGTGGGTGGTACTCCAAAAGAGCAGTTCCCAAGCCAAGCCGCGAGAAGAGCTTTCCGCGTATCAAGTTTGTATTCCAAAAGAGCAGTTCCTAAGCCAAGCCACGATAAGAGCTTTCCGCGTACTAAACTTGTACTCCAAAAACGCAGTTTCCAAGCCAAGCCGCGAAGAAGGAGTTTGAACAGGCTGCTATGTAGCTGCTATTAGAATACTACCAAAATACCAGGAGTTTAAACAGACTGCTATTAAAGTACTAGGAATACTAGGAATATCAGTAGACAGTGCAAAGAAGCAGCGTCTAACCAAGCAATGTAAGCGGAAGAATGTAGACCAGCAATGGGTAAGCAAGCAACGTAAGTGGAAGCAGTGCAGTCGCCAAATAGTCCCTAACGACTTTTCCAAAGAACCCTTCGCAGAGCTCTCGGTCCGGGTGACAACAGTATGAGAAAAAGCGCAAGGACAGCAACCACTGGCCCCGAAGTCCCGCCTGTTTCCGTCAGGTAATATACCCATGTCCCTTCCAAACGCCTGAACCCAATGATGTGCCCCGGCAATAGGTAGCAGTCCCAATTTGCTAAAGATACTTGACGTCATGTCCCACTGTTGTTGACCTCACTGGTGACCCTGTTCGAAGTGACAGCTGCCGCACAGGAGTTCACGCAACAGCCCCGCCATCTCTGAAAGCGCACCGATTCTAGGTCCCTCGGTAGCTGAGCGTCGCGCTGTTCTTCTTGGTATTTGATGTCCTGCAGTAAATCCTGCATGACTTAAATACCATATCTTTAAACACACAACCATACCGTGCATTACTTGACGAGGTCATGCAGGATTTACAGGTATCTATGGTGCTCACAGTTTGTTAGAAAGGCAGTGACCGATTTTGGGCACTCGATGCCCTGCTGTTACTTGCAAGGTCCAACATGATTGCGAAAGGGAGCATATTAGAACCATACCTCGGGGGCATAATGTGACGGCAACTATATTCCAGCTCCTCTAGTTGACATCGGAAGTGCGGGCACATGCCCATACTGTGGTTTCCCCTGGCCTCTGTTATGAATTTGCTGGCTGGCCAAGAGGCTCCAATTACAGCCCTTCAGGGTGACGGTATCAGTGTATCCTTCATGAGCCATTAGGATCATTAGGACGACCGCTTGCCAATCTTACCTCTCTCCAGAAAGGCCCCAAGTAGATTTCTTTGGAAGCCTGAATTACAAGCCAATTCCCAAACTGAATTCTCAGTCTCAGAATGCCAAACCATGACCCATACTCCCAGGGCACAGACCAGAGTCCCGCAAGTCGGGGGTCCTACGACTAATTGATCAAGGCATCCAGACCAGCCTGGTGACCAGCCTCAGATATGCAAAAATGATGGGTCCCTGAACCCGAAACCCCTAAGCATGCAGGGAGTACCGTGTCCCGGTGGGCCTAGATGTAAACCACGCACCCCCTGTAGGGAACCATTGTACACTAGCCCACTCGAGCTCTCCAAAGCAAACCACATTTCCAAAAAATGACTACCACCCACAAAAGGTACTGTACGTATCCAAAACAGAAAAAGCCCATGTACCCCATGCAAGATCATCCGTTCCATCGAAGATAGGATAGGATCGAGGCGGTTACATCCAGACTTAAAAAAGGCATGAGTAGTTGCATGGAATCTGCTAGGTTCAGTTTCAAGGGTGTAAACGTGCAAACAGAAGAAACCTCAGGAAATGTGTTTACATCATACCTACGTCCAACCTTACTTGTCCTCTTCTTATTGTATTGTCTCATGATTCATGGCATCCAAACATTCGCAGCAAGTCACTGTGTGCTTACACTGCATTACTTACCTATCTGTTTTCGCACAATCACGAATTTTCAAAAACCTCGAAGGTTCTCAGCCGCGTGGCACTCTCACCCCGCACCTCGAATGCTTCAAGGGCGAACCCGATGACATCTCCAGATCATAGCTGAGGGGCTCGTGAGGGCATCCATCTCGGCCAAAGCTTGGATAACGGCACTGACTTCCTGCGGACAAGGACTTAATTCTACCTGTGCATATTATTCAGTCATGGTCAGGGTGCCATGGTCACACCTGCCGTACGTCACCGTCGGAGGAGCAGCTGCACGAAACAGTAGCAACCGCAACGGTGTGGTGGTGAGGGTAGCACCCGCAGCAGAAGCAGTAGCAGGAGTAGGAGTGGAAGTAGGAGCCGTAGCTCTAGCAGTGGTATGCAGCAGTTAATAGTACTCGCAGCAGTTCGAGTAGCAGTACAAGTTTCCAAAACACTGGAAACTAGTACTAGTACTCGTACTAGGAACAGTACTAGTACTGGTACTAGTAGTACGTCGTCGTGGTGGTGTTGGTGGTGGTAGTAGTAGTACTTAGTAGTAGCAGTAGCAGTAGCAGTAGCAGTAGCAGTAGCAGTAGCAGTAGCAGTAGCAGTAGTAGTAGTAGTAGTAGTAGTAGTAGTAGTAGTAGTAGTAGTAGTAGTAGTAGTAGTAGTAGTAGTAGAAGTGGAAGTGGAAGTGGAAGTGCAAGTGGAAGTGGAAGTGGAAGTAGAAGTAGTAGTAGTAGTAGTAGTAGTAGTAGTAGTAGTAGTAGTAGTAGTAGTAGTAGTCGTCGTAGTCGTAGTCGTAGTCGTAGTCGTAGTCGTAGTAGTAGCAGTTGCACTAGCAGAAGCAGGAGCAGCAGCAGTCGCAGCAGGGGTAGTAGTAGCAATGGCATTGGTGGAGGTGGTAGCAGTAGTGGTACAGTAGTAGTGCCAGAAGTGGTGGCCGAGGCCGCGATTGCGATAGTGGGATTGGCAGTCGTTGTTGGTCGTCGTTGTAGTCGTAGTAGGTGGAGTATCCGCAAGCTAGGGGCAATGCAACCGGGCATCCTCGGCAATGGCAACCTCATCGCTGCTGCCCGATGATGCCTGTCAACACAGAACTTTACAGCGTAAACACAAGTCTTCGGAGACTATCAATGCCATGCAAAGTTTTGACGCGAGCTGCCAATTGCCGTGTGCTGGTATTTAACTAACCTTCAAACATTCCGCGCTAGCATGTATTGCTCCCCGACAAGCACTGCCACACCTGCGGACTCTTGGCTCCGAGTCTGTCTTGGGAGAAGTACTGCATAACGGCAGGTCTCGACGGGACTTCTGGAGGAGGCATTCTGGTCAGAAAACGAGTTTCGGAAATGAAAATAGAAGACCCTGTGCAGACCCTTGAATGGAAAGATCCCGAACATACGTACCCCCTGTAAGAAGCTACCCCGAATATCATCCCGCCCCCGCCCCAAACCTCGCCCCTTTCATGACACCGGGCACACGCTTTGCTTCGAGGCCCGGCCTGGTTGAGGCCCCAGTAGGACCTTGGCTTTCCAACTGCCATGCTCTGGCTCGAGCTATTCGTCTTGTTAGTCTTCCTATTGTTTCTAGTTTACTACGGCCTTGATCATTTGGGCTTTTTTCTTCCTGCTTGGATCTTTGTGTCGGTTCGTAAGCCATAGCCTGGCCTAGTCCGGTACATCCATTGACAGACCGATTAGTTGCACATGGAAGACAGCGATTCAAAAACAAATTGGACAGGAGCTCCAGATGAGGCATGCACCTCAAGTTTTGTCTGCAGGTCTGCTAGGCTGTCTCATCCCCCAGCTACACCGTTCTACCTGGGAACTGAGCACATTGATTGATAGGACAGGTAGGATACAAATGCCGTTGTATACAATTGCCCTTAACGAAGTGCTTGCCTGTAAGAAAATATGTCTGCGCCCCCCCGCGCTGACAGCCGCTGCTCTGGCCAACCGCTCTGCGGCCTGGACAGAGAAAGAAAGGGTCCTGGGTTTATCCAGGGACTCAAATTGCACATTGCCTTTCCCAGTCTAGGCAGTGCTAGGTTCGCATGTTCTGCAATGAAAAGTGCTCCGAAAGCCACAACGGGCCTACATCGCCTTTGGCATGGGTTTGATGAGCACTATATTCTTCTGTCAAGAGAACCTGTAAATGCGAACTTTCAAAGACCCTCGCGCAAGGTCGTAGCCCACACCGGTAGCCGGAAGTCGTCCGAGAGGGTGATGACTTTCACGTCGAAGGTCGCAGAGCTAATGCATTCCGTCTGACCGCCCCTTTCAAGCCCAGGGAAACCAAAGAAACAGGACCTGAACAGCCGCGTAGCCTCTGCACTTGCAATCCCCAAGCTGCATAGTTTTTTGCATAGAGAGAGAGAGAGAGAGAGAGAGAGAGAGAGAGAGAGAGAGAGAGAGAGAGAGAGAGAGAGAGAGAGAGTACGAGAGTATATACGAGAGTACGTAAATACAGATGTCATCGACAGGCTGCCAGACGAGCGACAGAAACACAGACACACAGGAGAACACGGAAAAGAGTCTTAACGTCGCCAGGCCCCCTCGCCTTGTATGCCTATTAGGGCAGGGGCCTTGCGTCGCCAGTCGCACACATTCACACACAATAACTCACTCACTCTCACTCTCGCTCGCTCCCAGGCTTGCGGAAGAGCCTCTCTCTCCGTCTCTCTGTCTCTCGTCATAGCCAGCATGGCAGGCATACACGTCGTTGAGCAAATCGCGGACATGTAAGTCGCTGTCCAAGTCACTGCGGACAAATCAAAGCAATTCAAGGTGATGATATGCTATGCCTCGCTTGGACACTATACACATGCAAGTGCCCAAGGACCTGTTAATAGCATGTCGGGCCCTGGATATGGTGGTAGGCCATGATCAGAAAAGAGTGTCACCATGTCCTCTCCAAGACCCCCAGTCCAGCCTTCGCAACCCTTGGGAATGGGGTCGTGCACACACACACACACACACACACACACATGCGCACTAGCCGCTGGGGCAACATCATGAGTGACGGAAGGCTCTTCGCATAAACATCCATCCTTTTGCGCATGTCCTCGAACGCGGTCAGGCAGGTGTTGATCCCCAGTTTCAGGTGGCCACGGATAGCGAGCAACCAATGCAGCGCGAGATTCACACGCACACGCACACGCGCGTGCACAGGAAGACCCCATGAAAGTGTCCACTTGCGCAGACAGACACCTACAGCCTGCCTGAATTCCGCCGCCACGCGAAGAAGTGGGGAAGAGGCGATGCCGCGGTGCAGCTGAACTTAGGCATGCGGAAGGGCAAGCGGAGATTGTGGGCTGCGTCTGAGTTTGCTAGACGACGAAGTGTTGCAAAGAATTTAGATTTAGGGCTTGGGCACTGGGGGCGGAAGAGGGAACGGGGTCAAACGCAGAACATGAAGGTTTGCCACTGTTCCGGTGCTAGTGCACCTAACAAAACTCGTGGCATCAAAGAATTGTCTCCGCTGTTCAGATGAAGAGTCCAACCAACCGGAAGTGCAGAGCTCAAGAGCCTGCCGAATGCACATGGACTCAAGCCATGGAAGCTTCGAGATGGTGCAACCAAGGTACAGTTCAGGTTGCGGGACCAAGCGGACAGGTGGCTGTTGCGGCACCTCCGGTGACTGGAAGCGATCAGACTCGAGCTTACAAGGCGTGCACCTCCACTGCTACATGCTATCATCGAGTCAGCAGCCAAGGGGAGATCTTAGAGCCCTCCAGGTACCCCCGAAAATTCCAGTAGACTTTGTGAAGAAGAACAAGTTCTAGCAGGATTCTAGCATGCCTTTTCATTGGCCCACAGACTACAATGGTGGGTTGGGTGCATCGAAATTTCGAAATGCCCAGCAAGGTTTGGGAAGACAGTCGGCCCGTGGCTGGCATGCTGCTCGGCATGCTACGAGAGCACGGCCGAAACACAACAAGTACTAAGTAAATATACAGGAAGGCCGCTGGTGCGCATCCACCTGTTTAGATCTCCCGAGACTTGCAAGTCCCTGACTGCTAGGCGCGAATTGGCTGCGGAATAAGCCTTGCGAAGCGGGCGCAGTTCGCGAAGCGCATCGCCGCAACCTGTCTGCAGGCAGAGCTGATTCGATGAAGAAAACGAGGCAAGGAGCAGAGAAGGGAGGATGGTCCATGCCCTGCTTGGCGGGTTGGGATTTCTGTTTATTACAAGGTTTTCTATGAAAAAAAATCAAAGGTCACTTCCAAGCTACTAGTACTACCAGTACTACTAGTACTACTAGTACTACGAGTACTACGAGTACTACTAGTACTACTAGTACCACCAGTACTACTAGTACCATTACCAGTATCACTCGTACTACTAGTACTAGTACTACTAGTACTACTAGTACTACTAGTACTACTAGTACTACTAGTACTACTAGTACTACTAGTACTACTAGTACTACTAGTACTACTAGTACTACTAGTACTACTAGTACTAGTACTACTAGCACTAACACTACTAGGACTACTAGCACTGCTAGCAGTACTACTGCTACTGGTACTGCTACTACTACTGCTACTGCTGCTGCTGCATCGGCCGCCGCAGCCGCTCGCTGCTCGTTGCTGCCCGCAGCTTTCTGGCCTTGGGGTTTGGGCTTACGAGGTAGAGGGACCCTAAACCTCATGGGCTCGGTGAGTCAGGCTCAGGGCTTGAGGGCCAGGCTTCGAGCTTTGGGGTTTAGGGTCTAAGGGTTTATGGGTTCAAATGTTCTGGGTTTAGGGTTGAGTTCAGGGGTTTCGGGTTCAGGGTTTAGGACAACACTGGCGCTTCTGCTCACTGCACTGCACACCGTGAATGAAACTGCACTGACGTTCGGATTCTCTTTTTGAAAGTGGCGGCCGAAGTTTGGCAACAGAAGAGATACCATGTCCAGAAAAGCCTATGGATTCCCTCGACCTCCTCATAAAAAACACTTAATACTTAAAACCAGTAAAACGAAACCACAAAGAGGGGCTGGTAAGGAATCCAAGACAACATAGCACCAGCAGGCGTGCTTGACACCTATGGAAAAGACCAGTGCCGTCAAAAGTGACCAATGGTACGCCTGTACAAGCATTGCGCTGCCACCAAGCGTCAGTGACCTTCTCACGATCAGCGGTTAAGGGAAAACACACACACCCCAAGCTCCAAACTCAGGGTGGGTGGGTGGGCTTCCAAAATACAACAAAGATAGGACTGCAGTTGTTATAAAATGCTAAAACATATTGGAGTAAACACGAACGACAAAGCACGCCATTTTTTGCTGGCTGCGGGCATCCGCGCCGGCTGCATGCTTGAGGCCCACTCATTCGAGAGATGGCTGCATGTGAGGCCCACTCTTCGCACGGAAAATGCAAGCAAGTTGAAGAGCTTTGCTGACTAAAGTTTAGGGTTTCGGGGGTTTGGGATTCCTTAAGCCCTATGCCCGATGCCACCAAACAACCCAACTTTAGTCTTCAACTGGATCTTGCTCTTCTGGCGCCATGACATCAACGTTCGACACAGCCATGAAATGGCCTGCTGGCACAGTCAAGCGTGCAGACGTGAAGATTCGCCAGGAAACATCGCCGTTTGCAGGACTCAAAACATGGGTTGGCTTCTCAGGAAGGTCCTCCTTAGACCCCATAGCCTGCTCAACGCCCTTGGGGCTCACGACCATCACAGGCAGCAGCTGAAGTCCATCTGCCAAGAGCTTGTCGGACGGTGATGCCGGCTTGCCACCTTCCTCTATGGACGGGATCACATAGCGACCTGCCTTGGACTTGGATTGTGAATATTGGGCCCACCCGGGTTTAGGGTTTAGGGTTCAGGGCTTAGGGTTTAAACTATGCCTCATGGCACACAGTTTCGAAGTTTGAAAGTCCATACAGAAAAGCAACGTTGTAGCGCGTCAAGGTGGCAGCATCCTCGCTGACTCGCGAGTATGCTGGGGCAAGGCGTTTAAGTTGCACACCATTGGGCCCAACAGTGCTCCGGAAGTTCCAGACCTTACTTCGCCCAGAGACGGATGCGTAAGCTCCGGGTGTGGCTCAGTCATATTGGTACAAAGTATATACTCACCGAATGTACACAATCCGTGACTCAGAACCTCCCCAAGGCACGAACAAGTCTGGGGAAGCAGATTCACCAAAACGCACACCGGAGCATTTCAGAGCCTCTGTCACACTTGTCGCCTTCAGCCCGCCGGCACCCAACGAGCTTGAAGGCGCTTCGAAGGCAATGATGCACTGTGTAGCTGATCTGGCTGAGAAGCCCCATTCCAGACATCGTCCTTCGGCTGGGCCCGCTGCACCCTCCACCGCAAAAGTACTCTTTCCACAACCACAGATCTGCGTCAAGCCTTAGCAGGCTTGCAGCCCCATGCCCATCCCCTATAGAACTGACACTCAATCACAACAGACCGCAACAAGTTACAGCTTGCTCCCAGGTCCACCAAGATACTCTCAGCGGTGATGTCGCTCTGGGAAGTGTTTCGCAGAAAAAGATACAGGCACTCATTCGGGTTCTTGTGACTCTCACCCTCGTCGCTGTCCATGCAACTCGAATCCTCGTCCTCCTTCGGCTTGGAGGCTTGGAGTCATAACAAATTATGTTCGTTGCCCCCCCAACCCCCCCTCCCGCCTCCTCGTGGATCCGCTTGGCCAGGACCAGCTGAAGCTCTGGGATCTTCTCCACTCGCTCCCCTTCCTGCACCTCGATAAACACCTCGTAGAACTCTTTTGGTGTCCAAGCAGCTTGAGCGGCGTCCTCCTCCAAGTCTTCCTTGTCCGGCACAAACTGCGTAGCCTGCTTCTGCAACGACACGACTTCACCAGACTCACCAGTGTGTGCCTCGAGCGACGGGACGCCCAGCTGCTCCGCCAACGCTCTAGCATCGCCCCAGGCCAGCTTCAACTCCTCGATGTCGGACAGGTCTTCAGGCGGCTGCTGCACGAGCAGGCTCCCATCACGCAACACCATGCATGATTTCATCTGCGCCTGCCAGGCTCAAAAAATGCTGGAAAACCCGCAGTCAAGACGCCAAGGCTCTAGGGGGACGCTTATGGTTGTACCCTTGGGTTTTGGGGACCCTTTCTAAGATTTCTGGGGGAATCTAGGGGCCATATTCCGGGTATAGCAAGGGGAACCTTTAGGGTTGCAACCTTAAAGGGTACGAGCCTTAATCCCTTGAAAGACGGATAAGGAAGCACCGCACCTGAAGTGCTCCTGCCAAGGCGTTGACATCCGGCGGCTTCACACTGACCCGTGCTGGGAGTTTCTCACTTCCAGGCAGTCTGGCATCCGCAGCGAAGGCGTTCAAGAACACCTCCACACAGCGTGTCTGCGCCACTGCGTAGCAGTGCTCCGCGGTGTCCATGCCATACATGAGGATCTTCGGCTTGTCCTTGCCAGCTTCCAGCCTGTGCCAGGAACGACACTGGGATTCGGATTTGGTCGCCCTGGGGGTTCTAATAATCCAAGCTTGGGCTTGCGCCCTCCATACTTATCCTTTCCAACTTTCCCTAATAATCACTTCTAGGCCCTAGGCTTTCATTAAATCCCTCCCTAATGATAAAAACTCTTTCCGGAAAATCCTCCCGGCCTCACCCCCCACAATTTTAAACCTATTCCGAATTGGGCGGGTTCAGGGCTCACAAAGCCTAGGGCCTCAAACCAACCAACATCCTGAAACCCTCCAAACCCTCAAGTGTCAAGGCTAGACCCTAAAGCCCTGTGGATCCAAAAAACATGACATTTAGAAAATCCGGGCACATGCCGCCGACCCGGCTGGAGAATTATTCAAAGCTAGGGCAGTGGGTTAAAGGACGCTCAGGGTGGACAAGGGGCTGTGCGAGTGTGGAGCTGGCCTGTGCCTCAAAAGCTGTGCGAAGCCCTCCGGCCAGCACCCAGCTCCAAAGTGCAAACAGCTGAATTGCACACAAGCAGTTTCCGAGGGAAGGTCAGCGAGAAAGGCTTCCAGCAACTTGCGAACTGCAACAGCGCCCAGCTGCGCTCGCTGAATTTCAGACGCCTGGTTCATGGAGACACGCTCCACCGTGTTGGATGTTCTTGCCTTCTTTGCTGCGTTCCTGAATACACAGTGCGAATCTTTAAGCCGTTTGAAGCTGAACCTATCATTTCCATGACACGCACCCCACGCCAATGTCTATGACATGCCTATATCACTGTCATGGCTACAGGATGTTGCGTGTATATCAGACCTCAAAAAAGACGCTGCTCAGGCCAGGGAAAGGCTCGGTGAGCAACGCACATACGATTGAGGACTGGAATCTGAAAGGACGAGACCTCCATCGAGCAGGATGGACGACTCCAGCCAGTCCCACGCTGACTTCTCACCCCCGGTGCTGGCCGATGCCTTGGGCACGAGGACAGAGAATTGCCGAGCCTTCGCTCGGCTACCCTCCGAGAACATCACTGTGAATGGCGCATCGTAGTGGAGGGTATCGGCCTCCATTTCCTTGCGAAACTGCCGTATGTCTTTCGACAAACTGCCCAGCTTCTGCATCTTGCTCTGCATGATCGCTCCCTGGGCTGGGACACTCGGGAGGGTCTCATCTTCCTCCTCATTCTCCATCGGCTCGTCCTCGCCAGCTGCCGGGTCCTCCTCATCACCATCGTCAGCCCTGCCCGTCCTGACTTTCTTGGCACGATTCGTGGGCACCCGGGGGTGCCCGATCAGCTTCACAGAGCTCCAGTGGGACGCGCAGGACAGGGCGAGGGTCACTGCCTTTTGCTTCATCGCGCTTCCGGCAAAGTCTATCACGCAGAGCTCCACGATCTCGTCAGGTGCATGCTGGCAGCACTCCTTGAAGAATTCATCAGCTCGCGCCCTGGTTGAGGCTGCGAACTGCGCATCCTTGGCCGGATCAGTCCTCTTGGGGCTTTCGCCGTACTCCAAGCGCATAGAGCTCCTGTAGAGCTGTTGGGCTGCAGCGATCTCTGCGTCGTTTCTGTCGTTTTTGGCCTTCTCCACTGCATTCCGGAACTTTTCCACCTTGCCCGCCAGCCCTGCACGGAAGTCTTTGTAAACGGCCACGTCGCTGGCCAGACCCTCAATGTAAGCTTTTGCTTGCACCTC